TCGGGATCTGTATTGTACACGTGCTTTGGATACAGCGAACTATTATTATCGCTGTAATTTCGCATGCTACTGTTTGCACCGTGAAGTTGGAATCCCCCGAAATAGAATCTGTATAAAGACGCGAAATAGCTTAATTGGAAAATTATATCAACTTTTGTTACTTTATCCTGTCTGCCTTTGTGGTGAATTCTAATTTAGCACACTTTCACACTATAAACAAAAACACGCGCAGTGCAAGTCAAAACACGTCGCGTTACTAACGCAAAGCGTCAACTATCGGTCCAAGGTCACACGCACCGCCGCCGACTGAGTACGAAAGTAGAGATCCGTATCCGTATCCGTGTCCGCGGATCTAGACACTAATGATCCGTATCAGTATCCGTATCCGCGGATATACATTTTTAACGATCCGGCACATCACTAATTAGAACGTAAACTAAAAAGAGATGTTTCGAAATTCCCCCCGCGAGGGAAAGGAAGAACCTAAAGAACTCGATTTCTACTGTACTATTTTAGATGTAGTTTTTTGCTAGAAATCGAAAATTTTTAGAACCATCTAAATAGGTACAAGAAATGAAATATTTTATTGACTTTGTTACAGCAAAAGTTAACGAATGTAAACGAAGATAATCAGAATAAAACAAAGAAATGTCTCTTGTATAAGTGTAAATGACTAGTAACAATTTCTCCTATTCGTTTGAATATCGTAAATTTCTAAAAGAATGTTATTACTTTTAAAAATTGACATAGTTTAACTAGAATAACTATTGATACCTTAAAATTATGTTAAATCTTAAGATTTTTACCTATTTGACCTAAATGAATGCTTTAAAAGAGATGAAGATGGGTTTCAAATTGAAAATCAGATAATACATACTATATCGTATGCCGATGACATTGTGTTGATAGCTCCTACAGCAGCTGCTCTCCGTAGAAAAATCCAACAAATCTGTGAGTATTTAGAAAAGCTAAGAGTTAAAATAAATTCCAAAAAATCAACAATTATGATATTTAGAAATGGAAGTAACGTATCCAAAAAGCACATGTCTTTCTTCATTAATAAAGAAGAAGTGAAGATAGTGAAGGAAATTAAATTTTTAGGAGTTACATTCACACCTAATCTCTCGTTCGAAAAACATTATAAAAATTCACTAAGTAAAGCAAAAATTGCAATAAATAATTTAATTGGTCTATTCTGCAAGACAAAAATAAAGAACATACGTATACATTTTCAGTTATTTAATTCGATTGTGATGAACTCAATGGGATATGCTGCCCCAATTTGGAGCATGGAAAAATTTAATGACTTTGAGAAAATACAGAATATATTCATACGTAAGATATTCCAGCTGGAATACAATATCCCGGGTAGTGCCTTAAGATTAGAAACACATAGATTCAGAATAAATACTATACTAATAAAAAGATATTTAAAGTTTTTACAAAAAATTATTAAGGCTGAAGATATAACAACAAAATTGCTGTTCTTACTACATCACAAATCAAGGGAAACAGACTTAAGACGAAGTTGGATAATTCAGTTATCGAAGATAGTTAATAAATATGGATTTTCTATTAAACTGGTTATGGATCGTAATTATGATATAGAGCAATATAGTAAAGAAATAATACATAGAGTTATGGAATACTCTATTATCCAAGACGTGGAAGATATACGAAAACGAGAAAATACAAGCTGGTATGCAACAATTTTAAATTATCCTGTAAATAACAACTATATATTGACAAATCTAGCTTTTAACATCAAAAAGTTTTTTATACAGCTTAGGCTAAATAAATACGGAATAATTATAAATGATAAATATATAGACTATACCCAATCTAAATGTCCAAATTGTACTAAACCTTTATCTAGAGTTCATATTATATGTGAATGCTGTAATGAAAAAGATAAAATACAAAGGCTCCAAATGCAACCGCTAGTCAACTGTAACAGTGAGATGAAAATGTTTAAGACTTTTGACAGAGCTAATACTAACACGATTTATATGTTATATAACTATGTTAAACAATTTACTAAATGAAAATTGTAACAAAATATTAATGTAAATTTAAAAAATTAGCAAATAGAATATATTAATGTTAATAAGACGAAAAAAAATTCAGATGTTAAATTAATACGCGTTTATGTAAAACTAAACGCCCTTGTAACAGGCGAAAGCCTATTACGACAAATAAAGATTATTATTATTATTATTATTATTATTTCTCATTAATCATTTCGATGAACTCCCAAAGTTCTTGATGTTTCCACATTATTGCATTAATTGTATTTATTCTTTTATTCGGTTCTAACAAATTTAAGTTTCTTATGTTCAATTTCAACAGCTCTACGGAGAGACTTATCAACCTTTTGCCCGTAGTAATAAGTAATACTGTGCATATTAATAGCAGTGATATCATCTGTCCTGAAATATATAAAAACCAAAGGGAATGAAGGAAATTGCAAATAAAGGCTTCCATATCTGTTCCATTTAGTTCTTTTATCATTGGAAAAAAAGAAAATCCAGACATTATTGTAAGCAATAACGATAGAAAAAATAAACAAAAGAGAACATTAATCAAATACACTTGTATTTGCTCAGTGATTCTCCATTCTCCATCGTAGCTGCTAATGACATAATGAAGTGAAATCTTGCTTCTCTTCAAAATACTGAACTGAATAGCTACATAAATGGATACGAAAGCGCAGGCAACAGCTCCTGGTAAAGCATAATCTTTGTAGATATGAATTGCCCGTAAACCATATAAATTCATGTCATATAATCTTATCATGAAAAGTAATGACACTATCCAGAAAAATACCTCGATTACACCGCTGTATATTATAAACATTGTCGAAAAACGATTGTGTTTTGGCGAATTTCTATCAGTTGACATGCACTCACATCGGATACAGAAATCCAAACCATATACTTTAGCAGAATTTAGAACTGGCGCTAAAACATAATCCAAACATATGCGCTTGTGTTCAATCGACATTGTTTCACGTAATGCCTTTATTCGTGTTATAAATAAATTGATATAATCCAGTATTGATACGAAAGACGTAATTTTAAAATAATTCTGCTGAATTTCGTATATACAGTATATCTATATGTTGCATCTACTGCGTTGTTTCCGTTTAATGTCAGACTAAGCGAATAACTTTTACTAGAAATAATAATGTATAAATAGAAAATGTAATAGTGTTTGCGCTGTAAGGCACTCTACTTTCTCGTGAGGCTGTTAAGATATTATTGGATCTTAATATATAGTTACCTAACATAATAACGAATGAAGTTTCTTGAAACTCAAACTGTTTATCGATTGTTTATTATATAAATGAAAATTGTTTCAAAGCAATTGTTGAATCGATAAACAATTTCATTTATTGTATAAATGACATCAGTGACTTAGTATCAATGTAACCCACAACGGCTTAGTATCAATTTCCATTTTTTGTACAAAAAGTGGAAATTGGCCTCGGTCGGAGGAAGTAAAGACCTCTATACAATGTTTTTCTCGTTTACTTCCTTCAAAATAATAACTTAATTTCTTGTAGATACCGCAATATGTATTTCCTCCACGCCCCAGTTACCCTCTGGAAAGCATTGGTCATAACTATTGAATATAGGGGAGACCGGGGCAAGATCGGCATGTTAAGCTTTACTTAAATTTTGTGTAATAAATACTGCTGTAAACTGAAAAAAAAAGCTTTGCATATTGTCTATTGGAATGTTACCTTACTATAGAACTGGTTAAAATCAGTTTGGAAATAAAAATAATTAAAATAATTACAACTTTACAAGAAGAGAGAAATTGACGAAGTTGCCCCGGGTATAGGGGCAAGATCGGCAACTTCTCTCTTTTTGTAAAGTTGTAATTATTTTAATTATTTTTATTAAAGTTGCCCCTGGTATAGGGGCAACAGTAATGGGGCAAGATAGGCACGTATATAAAATTATGTTATTAACAATGTATAAGTTGGAATTCACTATTAAAACAAAGAAATACAAATCCAACACCCATTTAATATTATTACAACGAAATGCAAGTTCAAAGACATATATACATGAATAACAAATGCAAACATGTTTTCATTTATCATCTGTTTGATTTTTATCCTTTGCTTCTAATGTGGCTTTATGTTGCCGATCTTACCCCGCTAGTCATGATTTCGAAACATTAAGTACAACCCTGAGAACAGAATGCCAAGCCACGATCTGGCCACGTGAATAAGTTGAAGTTACATCCTTCTAACAGGAAAAGTAACTTTCGTTATCATGGAATTATAACAAAACCTGCCAATTCAATATAAATGGAAAAAAAATATTATATGGAATTGAACGAAAATGAAAATTTGCTTGATAATTCAACTACGCTTGTTGGAGAACAATAAAAACACTACACTCAACAAGCCACCAATAAAACTCAACTGCCTAACCTATAACCAAAGTCTCCTTTTAATTTGTTTTTAAAAAAAAGCGCTTGACAAACTTGCCCCACATGCCGAAGTTGCCCCGGTCTCCCCTAAATAGTATACATTTTCGAAATATCAATTATACAATGTAAAAATATGATAATAATTTACTTTTTGTGCAGTTCCGTTCAAAATACTGATCAGGTTCACCGTAGGACCTGTGTTATCCGGATGTAGATCGATATTAACGTCGAGAACGTCGAATGCAAAACGTAGCTAAGGAGAGAAGTAATTAGTCTTATTTAAAGAAAGAAGATGAGGAAACGACTGACGATAGGAAGGCGTATAGCTTTAATCGATACATCGATTGTATATTCGGCAAATGTACAATCGATTTTATAACCAAACTAGTTTGATTTACGAGAATCATCTTCCGAAAGTATATTTAAGACGTCACAGGAAATTTATGCTGTATATCCATAAAACTAATGGAACGTAATATTGATACTTAGGCTATATTCTTGTAATATCTCTCCAAAATTAATTTATTATTTTATCTTTAATATTTGAGTGGATTAGTAGACTTGAGATTCTCTTCGAAATAAGTTTTGTATTGGATGACTATCAAAAATCAATCGTATATTGATATATTAATTATCAAGTTCCATTTCTATCCACTTAAGATAAAATTATTGCGTTATATCTGCTTTACTGTAATAATGTGTTGATCTAAAGTAAGTTTTTGATTTTTTGTTTTCTTTTAGTTTAGTTTCTGAATCTGAAACAGATTTGGCCGATGAAAGTGGAACTTTCGAGAGTAATTTCAAACAGAATATTCATCTAAGTTTTAATTATGAAAAAGACGTAGTCGATGACAATGAGCAAAATGTCACCGAATGTATAAATAAAAATACCGAATTTTCAGAAACTTCTGACGAATGCAATGTTACAGAACAATCTTCTGTTGTAAGTGTAAATTTAATTAAATTATTTTAGAGACGTTTCTTAATTTTTTGTCATTTGAAAGATGATTATTGATAAATACGACGTTGTGATATTAAAACGTATTGATAAACATGCTACAATTTACATAAATTCACTTCATATTATTTAAGTCGGTTGTTGTTTAGTTTTTAAAATTAATATGTTCATAATTGATGCGCTATTTATAGTGATTATTGATTATATTTAGTAGTAATTCATCTCATTTTAAGTGAGAGCAAATTTAGACATCATTCATAATTTAGACAGAGAGATGGTGTTAATTTTAAATTATATATTAAGAATGTACAATACTTGATATTATTAAATTTGAATAATTTAGTATTATTCAAATCAACGTTTGATGTGTAATATCCACGGTTAATATTGTTACTTCGAAAAACTTGTAATATAACATAGATTTTGTGTTAATAAATTGTGTAAAGCTGGGAGATAATTTGAACAGATAGAAAAGCAATGACAATGAGCATTCTGCTTTTTGTTATGTTTTAATGCCTTCATTGTTATTCTGGGTCAGTTTAAAATAAAAGGCTATTTCAGTAATGTTTTTAACGGAATTATAATTAAATTTTCCAATTCTTAACATGTAATTTACTTCTCCTGGCAATTAATGTAAACAAAATTGTTGAAAATTGATTCAATTAAGCTTAATAATTATTAATTAAATATTTGAAAATCTTAATTTTCAGAAATTTGATCAAGAGAAAGAACTAAATGTTCCTCTGACTTCAGCAGAGATCACATCAAGAATTTATAAAGATTATAAGAAACGACCTTCGCGCAGAGCTTTTATTGAGCTTGAGCGGTATTCATTAGTTTCAGAAGTAATTTATGAGGAAGAAGAACCTAAATCTGAAGATGATGGATCAGAAAGTGATTGTAGCATTCATTCAGATACCATTTTCGTTGATTATGAAGAATGTAATGTTAACATCAGCGCAACTGATGTATCGGACAACTGTAATATTGAAAACAATGAATCAGTAATTGCTGAAGAAGAGAAGTATGTTGCAAACATGTCTCAATTAGTAGAAAATAGTAAATCTAACACTTCTCTAGATGTTAAACTACGCAATTCAAATTTACCAATCAAAGAAGCGTCAAAAGTTTCTGATGAGTTTCATCCTTTGAATACATTTAGCAACGTATTTGAGGAAGAGGAAAATCCTCCAAAATCATCTGAAGTAAACAAAGAAAATATTACAATCTACTTTTGACATTGTAAATTATTCACAATATGATAAGAATTATGCTGGAGGAGCAATTGAAATTGAAGAAGGTAACATCATATCAATAAATATTTTAAGGTTATGTTTGAAAGGTATTGAATTATAAAATACCCCAGACTTTTTCGTATTTAAATAATTATAAAAGTTTTAAATTCATTTGTATAAAAAAATGTTTACATAATGATTAAATATTCATAGTTCCAAAGTATATCTCAGGTATTTGAGTAATTATAAAGTAATTTTAATAAATAATTAAGCATACAATTAATTGCATATCTTTAGTCTTTTCACTGTTTGGTATAATTTTCATTATATTGTTTATGACGTTAGGTTGAAAAATACTCTATAATTTAATAACAATACTTTAATTCCGTTAATGATTGTTTACTTCTGTGCATTTTGTCATGCATAAATGACTAATTATTTTTTAAGATAATTTGGATATTGTATTGATTTTTGACGGGTAACGTAACTGGATGTTTGACAAGCACGTTTTTTTCTGATATAATTTATTGTTGTTTGTTATTGAATTTATCGTTAATGGCTGTGTTATAATTTTTATTGAGAGAAAAATACAACACATGCCTAATTTAGAACATTATCTGATTTTCAGAAATGTATGAAAGCAATAACAAAAAAGATAAAATGAAAATACAACACTTCAAAAACTTAATAAAATCAGAAAAAGTCATGGATGATGATTATTCAAATTTAACAGTAGAAAACTTTTCTGAAAAATCTGAGAAAGAGGTCAGAAAATATTTTTCAGTTTTACTTTTGTGGAGCTTAATGAACAGATCTTCATTAGATGCTAAACTCTCACTCACGATCACATAGTTTTGTGATAATTTTTCTTAATGTCTTATTTTTAATTCATTTTTTGAAAATTGAAAAAACAATACAGTATAGTATTTATTTACATTAAAAACATTGTGTTTTATTAAAAATTACAAATGTAACAATATTGGTAAGTGATTTAACTATCTAAATATTGTGAGTTTAAAGTGAACGATTAAAATTGTTTAAAAATTAAATACAGTTTTTATATTTATTTACTACTTTTGTTATATTTAAAGATGACAATTTATCTCTTTCTAATCGCAAATCTTTAATTCATTAAATCTGTTCATTCGTAAATATGTGATGTTTATGACATCATTTCATGTATTTTTAATAATTTATAACAACAGAATTTCAATAAATAACGAGTTTTTATTTATTTATATTTTCTTCACTAAGATAAAGTAAACTAATATTTAAATAATTTATATTTGATTTTGAATGAATGATTCGAAATTTAAAATTTTTAAAACATGTAAATAATTATAAAATATTTATATAATTCTATGAAATATTTTTAAGATATATAAAATTAGTTTTAATATTTTTGATTTATGAAGTGTACTCAATTCTACTCTTTCAGGAAGAGGCAAACCGTGCGGATCTCTTTTTATATTATTTTCGCTGACTTTAAAGTTTATTTTTTTTCTTGTATGAAATGAAAAAAGTAATCGCTACAAATTAGAAGATGTGGTTTTGCATAAAATGGTGTTGAGTGTTATTTACAAAACTGAGATTTAGTGACTTAGCGAAGTTTTCACTTGAGAATAATCAAAGAAATAAAATGCGAAATTCGAATGTTTTAAAATTAAAAACTATAAATACAAAATTTAATAAGACGAAACATTTCATTCCTCTGAACCGTTTTAAAGGATTTTTATATTGTTGCAAGATCGTGTCAACTTCCCTTATGTCTAATCAGAGAGTTGTTTTTATTTACCATCTTGAAGTTTATTTAACGCTTTATCTTCATTTCTTTTGGTTATTGTTAATATATTTATTCTCAAATTTAAAATTTATCTTTTAAAAAGTGAAACACTTGTATAATTATATCAATTAGTAATAAAAATGATTGCAAGTTTTCCATTTATTAATTCTATCATTTTGATTTTCGACTATGTTGAATCATTTAATTCCTGTATATAAATAATATACTATACTTAACACTTATCGAACTGTGATGTCTCATCATCATCATTATTATTATTATTAATTAAATACTGAACTTAAATAATAGGATACTCGATTAATTAACAACAAAAGGCAAAGTTTAATCATTTTAATGATCCCGTGTATATACCAAATCGATTTGACTAGATAAATGAAAATTACAATTTTCCGATGTATAAAATTTTTCAAAAAATTTTCTAAGTCGGGATGAGGATCTTCAGACGGGAACCATTTTAAGGTTAATTCCATTCAGAGGATTCATTTGGAACAATCGGAATTCCAATTGCGGCGGATCCTGTAAATGTATATATTTAGAATGTCAACCCACTGGTGAGAAAAATTCAAAAATGAAGAAAGTCCAAAAGTTATTAATCGAATGTGAAAACATAAAAACGGATTAAACTACCTTTTCAGTGTTTTGTCCGGGAACGAAGCGGAACGACCGAAGAAGTGACGCCAAAATCATTTTCATGACAAGAAAAGCGAATCTCATTCCGATGCAGTTCCTCGGTCCATTTCCAAAAGGTTGATAAGCATAAGGGTCGATCGAATCTTTCCGTTCTGGACTAAATCTATAAAGAATATTTCGATGTTATCAATATAACCACCGTTGATTTCAATAAGAATTCGTTTACCTGTCGGGATCGAAACTCTCGGGATCCTGCCAAATTTCCGGATCTCTCTGACTCTTCCAGATAGCGTGTTGGAGAGCCAAGTCCTTAGGAATCGTTAAGTTTTTATAGGTGAAAGTTTTCCCTACTTTCCTCGTCGTAAATCTACACGAAAGGAAAAATCGCTATTATTTTTAGAAAAACAAAAGATTAACAAATATATCATTTTCGTTAAAATGACATAACAATTTTATTCCAAAAACGAATATTTTGCAAAAAAATTATTACCGGAATTTCATGCTAAAAAAGATCTGCGTCGATCTCTTAACAATGAATAAATTTTTAAGTATTTTCCCATGCGTTTTTTCTCATTACCGTTTTAGAAAAAAAAATTGTAAACAGTAAACAGTAAATGTCTAGTAAAGAACAAAGTCTTTTTTTATTGTCACACAATTCCTTTTTTATGTGAATTTCTTCCCGATAGTTTTTGATGCTATCCGCAAAATTCTTTTGCGGATATAGCCGTCGTTTACCAGTGCCACAGGATCACCCTTGACAGATATATCTGTCGGTCACTGCAGAGTGGTTAAAACGTTTTTTCAGGGATTTGCAGTTGTTGATTATTTGTGCCAATCAAAGAGATGCAACGGCTCATATTGGCAGTTTTATTTTTGAAAACCAAAGTTTCTGAGATTATAAAATAAGTAGTGTATTCTACTGTATAATTACTTACTCTAACCTAATTATTTTAAAAATATTTTTAGAACCGCGAACACGAATTACTGCATTTTATTTTATTTTTAAAAAACACTGTCCGCTCTGTGGGCACTAAGAGGGCCTACCTATTTTTTTGCAAGCCCTTTTAGCAAGATTGGGTGGTGAGGGACTGGGACCGACTGATTAGGTCGGATCATCCCCCGAAAAATTCCTGGAGGTTTCTAGGATCCAGACAACGGTATGGATATGAATCCCGGTCCGCCAGGGTGGTAGGCTGCCACCTTGACCGCTCGGCCATCCGGCCCTCTGCAATTTATCTCATGAATGTTTAACATTAATACGAATAAGCTTTCTGGCAAAATAATAGCCTACATGAAGTTGAAGAAAAGCACGAACGTTGATATTTTTATATTTAATGATCAGAAAATTTATTGCAAAAGTGATTCATATTTCTGATGCGTCTGAAACAGTTTTACAATCAGTAATAATTAAAAATCATAATAAACTCTGGCGTATTTTGATTACATGCAAACAATTTTCGTGACCACCACCTATCAATCCTAGAAAATTAAAGATCCTAACTTTTTCAATAGTCTTTCTTTCTTACATTACAACAAAATAAATTTTCATATAATTAATAAAAAATAATTGTCATTATTTTACAGCACTTAAAAATATACTAATAAAAACTGTTATAAACATGTGAGCGGACTTTAGATACTTGCTTAGTCCACTACCTACGGCTCTGCAAAATTAGTCTCGGATAATATAAATTATAATTGCTTTTAATTCCTCTTGTAGTTCTAAATTATTTTCCTATAGTATTTTGTGAGCGAGCGTAAAATGTATGGAGTTTATTAAGCTTGAAACTTCATTTATGGACAGATGAATCGATAGGATATGGCAATGACTGCCATTTGGACGACCCACCATAGAAGGATTCCCTCCGGGAGGACTTCTATCAGAAACTGACCTCTATTTAGCTGTTAGAGACATGAAGATACTCCGAAAATTCCAACGGTTAGTCCACTGATAAGGCACGAAACCGCAACCATTTTATCTACATCGCCTATAAACAAAAGTCTCTATCTCCAAGAAAAAGAAAAAACCAAAATTCAATTTGCACTTAGCAACATAACTAATTATCGATATTCTTTATCGGTACCGCCCAATACCCAGCGTAAAAAATGTTCTGAAATTATTAAACGAAGAATATCTTATACGCAAAATGTAACAACTTAAATAATCTTTCCAACTTCGAAAAATCCAGCAACGAGTCCGACAACTTTCTTCGTCAAAAAAAATTTAAAATTGTGCGTGGCGCCATCTGTTACGATATTTTCTTTTAGAAAGCTTTTTATATAATTTACTCATAAAATGTCAAAATGCCTAATTTTGAGAGTAGAGAATGATAATAACGAGTAAAATCTTCATTAAGTCCGACTCTACTCGAGATATGATATATGCCCTCTCTCTATCGCCCAACTTCTTGACCTTATTAATCCCCCTAAAACACAAACCTCACTGTAAAATTTCAAAAATTTTCGACAAAAGCGATAGAAATTATTAAGCTTTAAAGTTGATGAGCAAACTCGTGCCCTATAACACAAACTCTAATATCAATAAATACAGGAGAAAAAAACTCCATTTTTCTCACTTCTCAACGTTTCAGGTTCCGAGTAGAAAAATATAAAAATCTTGAGGATCGTCTTTTGATCGATCGCCATACTTTTCTTCTGTTATATGCAGTGCTGCTGCCTGCTCCCGGTGGGACTACCCTGACGACGTCTTTGTTTTGCCCTAGATTACTCTAAATTACTAGGGCTTATTATTTGTAAATTAAAGAAATCTTAATAAGAAAAAACAATCTTTATTGTTCACCTGGTATTTCATCCGTACACACTATATTTGTATTTAGGACCTCAAGGTTCCTCCTCTGCAGGTTTATCTTCTTTTAGCACCTTGTCGATGTAAACCTGCTGAGGAGGACCTTGAGGTCCGAAACACAAATATAGTGTGTACAGTTGAAATACCAGGTGGACAATAAAGATTGTTTTTTTCTGATTAAGTCTTCCTTGATTTACAGAAACTGAATACCAGTATAATAAGTCCTAGTAGACATAAATATAATAAATGGTATAGAATTAGGATAAAGAAATTGAGTCAAGTAGGGCTTGTTTACGCCATTCATTGTCTACAACTTGTAAATCAACCTTAACATTTTAAAACTTTTTAAACAATGGCTCAAAAGTCCTCACTGTTAAATTTTGCGCATTTTCAGGTTCAAGCAGAACAGGATATGAAAAAATATCATTACTCAAATCAAATCTGGCATAGATTTCTTTTACAAGTATACAATAAAAGCATCAGATCANGCCGCTTAGAAGGCCCGAAGCACACTCGGAAAACTCTTACTAAAAACGAATTTGCTCATCATCTTCACCTACTTAACTTATTTATTCGTAAAAACTAATATTTTATTTATTTAAAGTTCTATTCAAAGGTCACATAGTGGTGTTCGAGTTTTATTTGATCTTTTGTTTCCCTATTAAAAGAATCTTATTTTAATAGTTAAGTATTATTTTAAGCTAGTATTATTATATAATTATATTAATACTAGCTGTTACCCGCGACTTCGCTCGCGAGGATTTTGCAAACAAACCCCATTTATATTCAATATTTCAACAACCATAGTAATTGTTATATAACACCTACCGGTGAGAATGATGAGAATTGCCGAGAATCAAACGAACTGTTTTCAATTTGATCAATTTTCTGGAACGTTTACAATCATGCTATAATCAAACCAATATGCAATAACAAATTCGAATTTAAAACGGTTCGAACATTTGGTTAAAAAATCGAAATATATAAAAATATTTATATCAATGTCTGAAATGTTATCAATTTAATACACCTAAGTACTCAATGAAGACTAAACTTGCTGAAAACAAAAAAATCGCATATAAAATAGTACAGAAGCAGATGTTCTTCAGGTTAAGCCTTAATGCTCTTCCCCCACAAGGGAATTTCGAAAAATCCCTTCTCAGTGTGAGTTTTCATGACGTACCCTAACTGTGTACCAAATTTCATCTCTTTAGGTTCAGCGGTTTGCTCTGGGCGATAATAAAGCAGTCAGTCAGTCAGTCAAGTAATTTTGTATATTTAGATAAATATATAGCATTAAGGGTATGTTTTTCGTTTAAAAATTTTACTATTTTTCTTCCATTGCATATTCCTATCAGTAAAATAATTAGATTTGAATTTATTAAAAATTTTACCTCATTTTCGAGTACAGCATTAATTTCTTCCCTAACTTTTTCTTGTATTTCCGGATAATTAATCAATAAATGTGTGACGAAGGAAAGGGTGGTGCCCGTTGTTTCGTACCTGAAAATAAATTTCCCACACTAAATTATAACAAAAGAAAAGTCATTATGTTATTCTGATTGTTAAAAAGTAACTTTTAAAATTATTTAAAAAATGCAGATTTTAATTTACATTCCGTTTTCCTATTAATATTAAATTATTAGAAAAAATTACTAATAAATTATAGTAAATTAAAGGATGATACGCATAAATATGTAAATTATTTTTTATGCAAAGAAACAAATAAACTTTGAAATACTTTTCAAGAAATTTTACACTTAAACAGAAACTTTCATCTGTTTTGTTTCATTGTGTATAATCTATTATTCATTTCAATGGGAAGAAAATCTGCTTTTCATCAAAACGAATCAATTTTTAACTCATCGGTCACCATACAAACTCAATGGAATCTAACTTGTCTACGCATCAATAGCATAATAATCATAGAATGTATCAAAACTTTCGAAAGGTTTCGTGCAAAATTCATACTACCCGTTACATAAAAAATACATAATACTGTATATGGCGATCCGAATTGTTTTATTGTTACAATTATAAAGTAAAAGGATCTTAAAAATAAAGTTTATTCTCTGGAAATATTTTCTAAAACATATCTTTAATAATATAGTAAAAACCAATGAGCTAGAATATATTACACAGTGGGCTACGTCAACGCCATGTTTAAAGAAAACTGAATAAACGTCCGCCATTTTCCTTTTAGTCAAGGGGCGTGCCATTTCTGTTGTGTAAAGGCATCAAGCTAGAATATTCTAACTCGTCTAAAAGTGTGTCATAATAACCCTACTTCGCTTTTTATTTTTTTAATTTTGAAAGTAATTAACAGGGTATTTTTCAACTCTTCATTTAAACGTTTCTAAACAAGACAAAATATTCTGTAGCAATAAGTTAAATGCATTTCAAAATATTCTTAATTTTACATTCCTGGCTGTTATGTATACATAAGAGAAAGCGTTGAAATTGAGTCAAATTTGTAGAGTTTTTGTAAATCTCCATGTTTTCAGATCTGAACCCAAAAAAGTCGAAAAAAAATATATTTCGTATATGTGCGTGTTGGGGACTATAAGAAACGAAATTTGGCATGAAAGATTATGTATATGGAGCATTGTTGACATTAAATTTTAGTGGTTAACGAGATGGGGAGATAGAAGGAGTCATGTGTCATATCTCGAGAGAGATCGAACTTAATAATAAAAATGTTATTCGTTACTAACACTTATAATTTTTATTATAAAACTAATCATTACCCTCAAAATTTAGCTATTTGCCATTTGACAATAATTAAAAATACAAAAAATATAGAACAAACTTTAAACAAATTTACTGCCAGGACAATTCTTATAAATTTGTAAAAATTACAAAATTTCCTATGAATGAACTCTTCAAGTGTCCTTCGTACACCAACAGGAAATAACAAATCTATTCTATTATCTTCGTTGTCTGGGTTAATATGGAGGCTTTTAGTTTCAAACGCTGTTTTCTCCAATGCTGCGATCGTACGATCCGTTTTTGCCGGCCGAAGCCTTTTACTTTAAACCACAGGTTCTCAAACTTATTTCGACCACCGCCCACTTTGAGAGTAAAAAATTCTACTGCCCCATATTTTTTTTAACTTACCTTTTTACATTACCATCGGTTCTGTATCTTAAAAAACGGTTATTGCAAATATAATGTTTAAACATGCATTATTATATGGATAGGGTGTAAGTTCTGAGATCAAAGAATGTTTCAATGAGAAGAAATAAAACTCATATTTAATCACTGAGCCTTATACTGTCCCCCTGAAAGCCTCCAGTTCCCACAAGGGGACGTTATTGCCCACTTTGAGAAAGGATGCTTTAAACGATACCGTTTTTGCTTTCTTTCTTTCGGTGATGGTTTATATGGAGCGTCGTGGCTATTCGCCTTATATTCCGAGAGACTTGTGGTTGATCGCTAGACGACCGAAGAGCCGGCATTATAGAACGGCCTAAACGTCCGCGAGTGAAAGATTACCTTCCGGGAAGACTTTTGTATGGAAAAGTGGCCCCTATTCAGGCGTCATCGACACTAAGAAAACCCGGTAAACTCCATGTTGCCAGCCCGTCCGAGCGATGCGCGAACCCACGACCGAACGCTCAGTGTTTAGGGACTGGTCCATGCAAAGAGCGGAGACGGAGTCCACTCAGACACTGGGGGGGGGCATACCGTTTTTTGCCTGCGGAGTCGACCTTTATATATAAGCTAAATCCCCAGCTCGGCATGCAAAATGTTACAAATTATCCTCTGGTGGTGGCAAAACACACTTATAAAGATTATACATTTAAAATAACATTTATTAAAGTTATTGTCCAGTTAGTAAATTTTAGTAAATGTTATTTTAAATACCTATATAATTTTTATAAATGTTTTTGCCACCACCAGAGGATAGTTTGTAACGTTTTGCATGCAGAGACGGAAGAGTAGCCTCCAGGTAAAGGTCTACTCCGCCGCAAGATTTGTTATTTCTTATTGGTGTAGGAACAGACAATGGAACAAAGACACTTTACAAGTGTCTTTGTTCCATTTGTCTTTGTCCACAATTTTTCCACATGTCTTTGACCATAGGAAGTTTTGTAATTTTCCTATGAGACTAGTGATATTTTCCAATAGTGAGACTAGTGATATTTATCACGTCTTTCTTAATTATACGCAATTAAAAGAGACCGAGATTAAAACAGTTCATTTTTTTTCCAATTTAACAATCCATTTGGAATTGGTAATTTTCCAATCCTTCTTCTGGCTCATGGCTTCAGTGTCTAAGGTTGTTGTCTACAACATAACGAACAGAGGTTAGTTCACGTTAATGATGTTTTGTTATCCAGAATGACGAATATAGTGTACAATTTGTACACATCCAAATGATATAGTTTCCACATATCAGTCTCTTGCACTTACTGACATGCTCTCTTTTTCTATTTTTGATGGAAAAATGCAATACTTCTTCCATTTTCCACAATTATTAGCTCCTTATTATCTCTTAAAAGAATTTTAACTTCAACAACATAGTTCATAAAATGATAACGGTCTAAATGTGATTTTTCATTGTAAATATTTTCACAAGTTAAAACGAAAATTTTCACAAACGAAATATAACTATAATAAAACACAATATAAGTAGTGTTCTTGTGGTTCAATATAAATAGTGTTTCAATATAAGTAGTGTTCTCGACGGCTCGGCCGGACGCTCAGACCGGACCGCTCAGGGGCACCCGGGATCGGATCCGGATGGGTTGAAAAATCCCCAGGAATTATTCTGGAGCTGGTTCGTCTGGGTTCCGTGCCTCACCACCTGGCTGCCCTACTGTGGATTTGGCAAAAATGCTAAAAAGTGGATTTGCTAAAAATTTTTCCTCTTAGTGCCCAGAGTGTAGAAAGAGTATAAAAAAATCTTATATTGCAGAATAAAAAATCGAAGAACTACTGGTAAGTTGTAAGTAGTACATTCTTGCCTGGATATAATGTTGCAGCTGTAAGAATACTGTTTTCCCTTAGCTCAATATCAATTTTGAACACCTGCAACTTTATAACTGAAGACCTGGTAACAAAAATAAATACAGAACTATATATCACAATTACTTTGGTTCAAATAAGTCCTTTGGTTTCCTATGGTGTTGCTATGGCGACCTAATTACCGGTTAACTTTGAAAAAAATCATAAAGAGAAGATCTACCTCACACAAATGGTCAGAAAACGTACTGTACGTACAGTACGTGAACTGTACCAACTGATAAAAACCAGCAAACTGATACTGTATATAGATGTCTTTTATAGATGTATATTCTTGTAAAAGAATATAATAAGTTATGCAATAAATAAAATATAATGTAATCTAAATACTGTTATTTATATCGTTAACGAATTTTTCGAATTGGACCCGGTCTCGTTTGAGCTACATAAACCGGGTTCCAATATAATAATTAAATAAAATCTAGAAAATAGCTAAATTCGAGATGAAACAACCTACATTTATATCAATTATCTAATTGCCTAAATCTCAAATCTAGGGACAAACAAAACATTTTAGATTTAGAGGAGAAAAATAGATTCTAAAGAAACAATCCTGCCCAACACGTGGTATAGACTTCGATGTTTTGACTTAAAGCAAAATGGCGATCGATAGTACTCGTCGTTATCACTAAGAGCGCTACATCTAAGGTCACAGTCACTCTATGTAGTATATTCTAGCTCGTTGGTAGAAACTGTACTTACCCTGCTACCATAAAGAGAGCGGAATTTGCCATGATTTCTGGATTAGTCAAATAATGCAACTTTGATGTCGAATCTAAATAAAATAGAGAACTCTGTATTAATGAGTGTAAGAGAAATTGTGGTAATATACGACAAAGTAGTTATTTGTAGAAATATCAAATTTCATTAAGATCGAAAAACGGGACGATAGTAGACAAATTCCTCAACGCTAAACTGCAAAACCTCTATATACGAGGGTAATCCGATATTAAAGGTACATGCCAAAATTACACTAACATTTATAATTAAAAAAATATTTAATACATTCCACAAAAACTACATACTTTTGTTTTTTTCTCGACATAATTGCCGTAAACGTTGTGACATGTAACCCAGCATGACACTACTTAAAACATCCCTTCACGGTAATGTTGCTTGTCAAAGTTGCATGAAGTAGTACAGAACGGTGTCTTCCAATTCCTCCTAATCTGCAAAGCGTTTTTCCGGCAAAAATTTTTTAAAGGTCCGAATAAATGAAAATCTGAGGGAGGCTAAACATAAACTATACGGAGCATGTTGCAGACCTCCGCTTTACCAACCACGGCTTGGTTTGATTTGACGTGTGGCGTACAGTTAATCGAGACCTCCCGTCCATATGGTTTCCACATATAGTGTCATCTTTCATCTATCTAACTCCGTTGTCGAGATTAAGGAAGGACGAACGGATAGACGACTAACGACAATGCGAATTTATAAGTCTACAATTTGAAATTGTAGACTTATAAACAAGATAACTTATATAAAACATGCCAATCATTTATACAAACCATTTACGTGAAGTCAAAATTAAATAACACGCAGTACTTACTCGCATATGTAAAATTTAACATTGGATAATGATACAAATCTAAATAGTTGGAACAGGTTTTCTCGAACAAAGTATAATTTACGTTATATATTTTCCGAATTAAAAAAATTACTAGAACTTTACGTTCGGTAAAAATCGATTGTTCTTACAGCTTTTCTCCCTACATATTGGGATTTTTCGTTGTTAATACTATTGGTAAGAAATTTAGCTTTTAAATTATAAATATCTGCCTTTATGCTATGTCTTATAGTTTATAAATTTATAAACTATAAGATCCGACTCCATAGCCCTGAAATTTATAGTTTATAAATTTCAGGGCTGTGGAGTCGGAGTCGGAGTCATGGAGTTTTGATGTTTTAGCCGGAGTCCTCAAAAAATCTGTCAACTCCGACTCCTTTTTACTTCCCAATTTGTTATGTATATAAAACGGAAAAGTATTGGAATCGTGCCAAATTTGACCCTCCGGGGATTTTTTTGTTTGTTTGCAAAATCTACACGTTTGGAGAACTCCCGAACCCCTCAAAAAAGTCAATAAAAGGGGGAAAATTCCCGTGCGTGTGTGTGTGTTGGCGTCTAATTTGTTTAATTTCATTATTTTCTGTTTTGAGATATTAAACAATATTTCAGAACGGGTAAAGTTTAAGAAACGAAATGTGGCACTGTGGCTTGCGTATAAAGGGGCATTAATACTATTAAATTTTGGTTCTTAATTAAAGGTCGACAGGGTGAAGACATAAAAGTGGTCATGTGTCATATCTCTTAATGAATATTTTACTCGTTATTAGAGTTCAAAATTTAAAATAAAATAAAACTCGTTTCTACCCTCAAAGTAAGCTTTTTTGTCATTTTATAATGGTACAGTAAAACCTGTTAAGATGTTCTCGCCTAAGATGTTAGAATGTATATGGGACATGATTTAATTCAACCACTGACGCTTAATAACTAACTCCTGTGTCCTGATTTAATTCTGACCACTGACCAGAGAAATTATTAAGCTTCAAACAGGATAAACAAAATTATGCCCCACACACACAGTCTAACATCCACACATATAGAAAAAAAAACTCAAATCTTTTGCATATCTCGAAATTTTAAGGTGTCCTGAGTCCAAAAATGTAAAAATTTGGAAAGGGTAATTTTTTTGACCGAGCGCTACACTTTCTTTCTGTTATATATAACAGCCGGAAAAGTAAAAATGATCAAATACGTATTTATATAATGACTGTGTCATTACTTAGAGGAGTCTTTTAGCTTTGGAATAAAAAGTTTCTACGTTCTATCTTTATTAGAACTCTATTTATTGAACCTTTTATTCTGAGGTCACGTGACGACATCAGAATTTCAGGGTCTCTTTCGGTAACAAGTCCTCCCTTGGTCGGAATCGGAATCGGAGTCGGAGTCGGTAGATTTTTACGCGACGTCACACCCTGATAAATTTGAAAAACAATCAAAAACAAATATAAATAGCTTCAGAAACTATAGAGGCGTATCTATTAATATATAAACATGTTCATATGTTTGGTATATCGCCAACATAATAGCAGACAGTAGTGGAAGATTTAATCATGTCTGCTTTCTCGTTACCGATATATATAATAAACACAAACAATCCGATAATTACTTCAAATATCAAACGAACAACCATTATCGGCCAAATAACTAAAATATGATATAGAATAAATGCAGTTAATATGGACCACCATGTTATCTTTCATACATTACATTCAGTAACTGCTGCAATTGAACTAACATTGAGATGTAAGGTGGAAAAACTGATATCCAATGATATCATAACAGCATTTTTATTAATATGCATTAGTTTTAGCATAAAATGTCGAAATGTTAAGAAACTTAAAAGTCAAGGTAATATGAACCAAAGCTGATAATATAGACACCAATTTGGTCTATATTACCTGCACATAGTTCATGTTACAAGGGTGCTTCTAAAAACAGACAGAAAGTTACTATTTTGTGTAAAATTCACACAGAAATGTGTCTTCCTTCTGCACCAGCTCAATGCTGACAACTACTGACAGTGAATACATTCATCAACTGCCTGGTAGCCGCATAATAACTAGAGTTGCACTACTCTTCCTTCTGGATTTGCAAGTAATCAAACAACAACAATAAAACAAAAAATGCAGCAACGGGTTGCTTAGCTTTCCTGGCAACATTTAGTAGCGCCATTTGTTATCATATTTTATTTTAAAAACATTTTTATTTTTAACTATCATAGAATGGCAAATAGCTTATTTTTCAGGGTACAGGTGGGTTTTATAAAAAATGTGAATGCTAATAAGGAAAATAGTCATTAAATCTGACCTTATGAGGATACACACGACCCCCTTTATCTCCCCACTACCTCGACTATTAATCATCAAAATTTAATACTACAAATTCCCCTAATAAAAAAACCTTCCAGCAAAATTTCAGAAATTTTCGACAAAAAAACAGCAAATATTATTAAGCTGCAAAGAGAGCAAATAAAATCGTGCCCACACACACTAACGTCTATACATATAGAAAAAAATCCAGAAGTTTTTTGCATTTTTCGACGTTTCAAGATGTCCTAAGTCCAAAGATGTATAAAATTTTGGGGGTAATTATTTGCCGGATCGCCATAGTTTCCATCTGTTATATATAACAGCCGAGAAAATAAAAAATAATACTACAAACATGTCTGGTAATGTGAACTACAGTAGGCTAAATTTGCGTACCATGGTCCATATTATCTGCACTGGCTTGCGACACTAAAACCAATTCCTAGTTCCAATCAAACAGCATGTAAAACTTTAACAGTGCATGGATAATCAAGAACAACAACACAGCAAACTACCAAAAATTACCGTCTTTTGCGATTTCCAATTCAGCAATTCCAATTTGTAAATTACCAATTCTGGAGTTTACGGGCTGCATTATCAATGACCAACATCTGCTGAAAGATACTATAAACGTCCGAGCCTCTTATCCACTTTCTCGTTGAGTGGCGGCCATTTTCAGCATACAGGGACAACGGGAATGAAAGTACGTGTAACGCTATTACTCTCGAAAGATACCAGCTGAATTAGAAGAAAAGAACATAGTGATGGTCGAGCGGTCAAAGTAGCAGCTGACTGCTTTGGAGGACCCGGGACCGAACTCGGACGGGTCGAAAAATCTTAGAGAGTGGCCCTACCGAATAATTCGGTTCCGTCCTTCACCATCCACCGCTACATTGTGGGTCTGGCCGAATCCATAATGGGCTTGCTAAAAGAGGTCCTCTTAGTGTCCACAGGACGATTATAGTCCAAAAATAGTAATAATACATAAAAGAAAGGAATGTAGGTGGTTTATGTTAGCTGCGTTTAATCTATCCCTAAACATATAACTTCTATAACTTCTATAACTGTTTAACATGATTAAATTATAACTTTAAAACTGTAATTTCATTGACGAAATCATCATTGATGCGTATCTATTTCAAACGATACACAAAACAATAAAATTAGACATTTCTGACGAACGAAAATGAATCGATGAATATTATCTTACTTGTGTTTTGTTTAACTGTTGATGATTTTGAGATGTTATCAGGGTTTAGACTGGCAGTCAGTTTTTCTCCGGTTATATTTTGTAATTCTTCCGAAGAAATATTAGCGTCGAGCATAATTTGAAGCAAATCTTGACGAAAATTCTGAAATAAATGATTTATAATTAAGCGTGTAATATAAATTTACACAATAAAATATGAATCTGTTATACACGTACATGACGTGACGTATTCTTTTTAATCTATTTTATAATGAAACAACTTTAAGAAATTAAGTATTNATTTAAATTTTTAAATAAGAGTTCCATCGAAGGTAAACCAAAGAAACCTCTTATTTTATCTATGATTATTCGAAGTATAGATAAAATCACTTCTAATTCTCTAAAACAAACTGAAAAAGTAAAAAAAGTTTAAACTTATTTATTTCTTCTTCTGTATTATGAGATAATTAACGTATAGTAACAACGTAACGCACTAAAACAATAAAACGTCTACATAAAGCTCGGGTACAGTACATTTTATCAATTTCTTAAAATTTTTAAATCATCTGCACTATCCGATTGCCAGTAAATAATTATCATTATAAAATGTTTTTATCGGTCGAAAAACAGGCTTACAGCATTCTACATGTTGGCTTATAAGCTTGACAGTATTAATATTGGTTTAACAGATTTTATTGAATGTGGCTGAATCTAATCTAGCGACATCCTTAATTACCTAGTATTGAGGTTTTTGAAGTAAAATCCTTTCTGTTCAAAGTATATTTATTGCCTACACACATTGCTAATTGGCAAATTAAATACAAATAAATTTATGTTAATTACTCAGTCCTCATAATTCTATACATTTAAGAACTGAAACTCTTAATGACATGTTTTTTCGATTTATATTCTTTTCAAGTCTTTCGATGTAGAGTCCAGCAGCAATTCGCTAACATGTTCTCGTTCCGTCTTCCGCTATACCGCTTATATATTTGAGAAAGAGCCTAATGGAAGTTTCCTCCATGTTCAACAGCTCCTAGGCTGACAGGAAAAAAATATAAATGGAAATGCAGGAAGTGCGTGTTGAGTGACATATTGCAACCTAGTGTTTGATAGAACGTTACCAACGTCTCCACTATTTTCTCATATTTGTTAATTCGTACCTATTCTAAAAACGTTTTTCTAACGTTTTTGGAATAGGTACGAATGCATCCCACGCTGTCCTTTCCGCTGGGTTATTTTCCTCAAAAATAGGATCCTTCTACAGCTGTCTTACTTCGGGACTAACAAATTTTACTCCTTTACTTTCACATCGCTCAGATGATTAAACTTTTGCTTCAGATAAGCAAAGCATTCTCCTTCTCTATCCATAACTTTTACAGTTTTTCATCAATCAAGCTTGACATCAAGAGGAAATAAGAGAATTTTAGTTTTCTCTACCGGAGCAGGAAAAGCAATATTCTTCTGAACTTGTACGTTTGCTACACAATCAGGCCACTTTTTTACTACTTACTTGTTAGTGACAGTGGCGATTTCATGGAGCCCAGGCAAATTTGAATTAGCGACTGCCACGAACAGAGTTGACTTCGGGTCTGGCCGAATCCATAATGGGCTTGCTAAAAGAGGCCCTTTTAGTGTCCACAGGACGATTATAGTCCAAAAATAGTAATAATACATAAAAGAAAGGAATGTAGGTGGTTTATGTTAGCTGCGTTTAATCTATCCCTAAACATATAACTTCTATAACTTCTATAACTGTTTAACATGATTAAATTATAACTTTAAAACTGTAATTTCATTGACGAAATCATCATTGATGCGTATCTATTTCAAACGATACACAAAACAATAAAATTAGACATTTCTGACGAACGAAAATGAATCGATGAATATTATCTTACTTGTGTTTTGTTTAACTGTTGATGATTTTGAGATGTTATCAGGGTTTAGACTGGCAGTCAGTTTTTCTCCGGTTATATTTTGTAATTCTTCCGAAGAAATATTAGCGTCGAGCATAATTTGAAGCAAATCTTGACGAAAATTCTGAAATAAATGATTTATAATTAAGCGTGTAATATAAATTTACACAATAAAATATGAATCTGTTATACACGTACATGACGTGACGTATTCTTTTTAATCTATTTTATAATGAAACAACTTTAAGAAATTAAGTATTCGCTTTGGTAAA